ACTGGAAATTTATTACCATTATATTATGTGAAGTATGATCAAATAGCATAGAAAGAAAGAGCATTTTTTTCTCTGTCATCCTGTGTAAGAAGAAACTTTTATCAAGCTTACTAAGTGGTACTAAAATGTCGTTGCCACTACTTTTGGATACCCCTAAGTAATTTTTATTTTAACTCTATTAGCTGGGACTTTGGATACTAAATTGATAAATCTATTGTAAAAACTTCAAAGAGTCAGACACTTTTGTATAGAAAATTTTTTATACTGTGGAAGATGTTTACTAAATGATCAGAAATGTTTTTGCTTTGATTCTATCGATAAATGTTAATGCAAACAAAAGTATTTCTGCTTTACCTTAAATAAAATTGCTGTAGCAATTGAAATATGAGCTATAAACTTTGTAATCAAAGTTTAGACTTCTTCCATATCATTCACCGACATTATGAGAAAAAAAGAGTTGTTAGTCTGATTTGCTAGTAGCTAGTTTAATCATATCTTCGATTGATTGGGAAATAAACAATTATTTTGAATAAAATATATTAATTTAGATAATTTGAACACAATTAATCGTCATGATTTTATAATTCATATGTTGAATGAATGGATTAAAAACAATGCTGCTGAATTTGATATTCGAAATGGGAAATTAATTGAAAACGAAGACTTTCGACTTTCAATTGGTGGTAATGACTCTGATATATCAACATCTATATCATGTTCATGTGGAATTAATATTCAATTGGGCAGTATTCATGGAAACATTTCCTTGAGTAATTATTATAAACATTTGAAATCAAAGAATTGTATTAAAAAGAAGAAAATATCAAAACACGTTAATGATAAATCGAACGAAATTGTCGAACAAGCATCGTCTGATGCTGAAAGGCCACAAAATAATTCAATTTCTGAAGATATACAATGTTTAGCATCAACTGTTTCTATTGATAAACCTGCAACCATGAGTAAATTATGTAAACGAACAACTGATCAAGATAATAATAGTTTCTCGAAAAAAAAACGTGTTTAATAATGCATTTATATATACCGGGTGGGTCAAAAGTAAGGAAAAATAGTATTTTTTTCCATTTCTATCTTATAGATCGTCGGTTAGGTCTCATATTTATACCACATATACTAGATGACATAAGTAAAAGATTAAGCATATGAACGATATTTAGATGTAGTGTAATTGATTCGAAAACATTCAAATGCAAAATGACCCACAAGAAGGAAAAACTTGTGAGTTTCAATGAAACTTTTATTAGAAGTTCGGACAAAGAAAAAACACGTACAAATGCATGTCCTTATAAAGTGTTTTTGTTATGAAATTTTTCACAAAAATTGTTCAATATGTTTACCATCTAAATCTTTGCAAAGCTGAAGTCTCTCACGTACTGACTCGCAAGCTCTTCGACAAAATTCCACCGGTAAACTTTGTGTTTCGGTGATTATAGCATCTTTTAGTGCTTGGAGGTCTCGCGGCTTCGTCGCGTATACACGTTCTTTGATCATAGCCCATAAAAAAAAATCAGTCGGGGTGAGATCTGGAGATCGTGGTGGCCAGTCAATCCATCCACGTCGACCAATCCACCGATCAGGAAATGTTTTGTCCAGAAAGTGCCGAACAGATTGAGCGTAATGAGCTGGAGCTCCGTCATTCATATAGACTATCTCTTCTAAATCCATTTCACTTGCAATAGCGGGAACAATATCGTTTTGGAGCATCTTGAGATAGCTGTCTGCAGTAATATTATCCTGGAAGAAGAACGGTCCAATGACACCTCCAACCCAAATTCCAGCCCATACAGTGATGCCCGGGGTATTCATTTCTTGAGTAATGATGACATGGGGATTTTCTACGGCATAATAAACACAGTTGTGTCGATTGACATGACCATTCAACTTGAAAATGGCCTCATCGGTCCAAACAATTCGACTAAGCAAGGAAGAGTCGTCAGCTAATAAGTTGAGAAAGATGTCGGCAAATTCACAGCGTCTGTCAGGATCGTCTTCGTTCAATGCATGCAGTAATTGAGGACGATACGGTTTCAATCCCAGCTCCTTTATCATTCGTCGAAGGCTACTTCTATCAAGATTCAGTTCCAAAGAAGCTCTTCTTGCTGAAATTCCAGGATTTTCTTCAAAAGCAGCACGAACACGCTCCCTATTATTGTCTGTACTAACAGATCTAGGACGACCAGATCGAGGTTTATCTGCAACGCTTCCAGTTTCGTCAAATTTTTGTACAAGGCTCAAAATATTCTTTGATGTTGGCGGAGTTCGATTAAAATGATTTTGAAATTGACGAGCAACTTCAGATGCATTTTGGTAAATGGCGTACTATTTCACAATTTCAATTTTTTCAGATGACGACAAACGAAAACTTTTACTCATGATGAGGAAAATGTGAAAAAATATTAAAGCTATGTAAACAACATAAAATGTAAAGAGAACCGAAAAATAAACCAGTCGACAAAAGAGATAATCATTAGTATTGTTATCTCCTAGATGGCACTCCTCACTCATATAAGTACTACAGGAGAACAATCAATAGTACGTGCGGTCTTTTTTTTACATATGTTGTATTTGTATGCTCTTGGATTAATTACACTACATCTAAATATCATTCATATGCTTAATCTTTTACTTATATCATCTAGTATATGTGGTATAAATATGAGACCTAACCGACGATCTATAAGATAGAAATGGAAAAAAATACTATTTTTCCTTACTTTTGACCCACCCGGTATGTATTTATTTATCATTAGTGAATATTTTATTAATTCATTTATTTATATTTATTAGATTTTCACACTTTTGTTTGTTCATGTGAAATTTTTTTTGTGTGTATTACTGTGCTTTATTTCTATCTGCTTTCTATTTGAATTGATTAACACAAAGAAAGAATTCATACGATTTATTTCGTGATATATCCTTATTCAATACGTTCTGTTGTCTATTAGTTCAAATTGTTTATTTAACGGTCAACTTGTCTCTGATGAACTTTTAACGGTCGAATAGTTAAGAAAGAAAAAGATCTATTCTATGAAATTCAAAAAGCATATTTCAGAACGATTAACTTAATCTCTCTCGTTCGTTTTTGTAAGCTAGAAAAAATTTTAATTCTATATTTTCTCTTTTCTTTTTTCTCTGCATATATATATATATATCGAAGACCTTTCTCTTCAAAATCATTTATTATCTGTTACTATTCGAAAGCTTACGCATTCATATAATTTAAACGAAACAAATCTTTTGTTTTTTTTGTAAAGAAAAAATAAAAAGATGTTTCGTACATTGTTACCTCTTGTTTTGCCTGATGATATTCTTTTTTTTGAAGGAGAATGATTTCTCGACTTGGTGAACAAAACATGTGGAGGTAATTTTAAAGAATTGATGGAAGTACTTTCAATCAATACAGTATACAAATTACTTTTCATTAAAAACGATATTCTTTCTGTCTTTCAGAAAAAATATCTAGAACTTGAAAAAATAACAGAAAGAGCCTGCCTTCATCTCGATGATGCTAGTATCTTGCTTAAGCCTGAATTACGTTTGGATTTTGATCGTTTTACTGCAGCTCTTCATGCTGTGAACGGCAAGAATCAACACCAGGAACGAACAGATAGTTCGAATAATGATTTTCTTTCGTTGTTTAAAATATTCATGAAATCATTTCAAATAAATGAAGATAAAGGTTCAAGAGGCAATTTCTCGTTTCTATTAGTTTTCATTGAACATATTTTGAGTAATCTTCTCAAAAATAAAAACAACTATCGATACGATGAAGCTGTACTGCACTTTGCACAATTATTGTACATATTGGGAGGAAGAAATGCGTATGAATTTATTCGCATGAATCTCCCAGGAGCACTTCCATCTTTGTCTACGTTGAATGATAGTCTCAAAAAAGCTGGAGAATGTATTGAAGAAGCTGAATTTCGATTCGATGCCCTTCATGAACATCAAAAGTCGTTGGACTATCAGACAGCCGTTTGTTCCGAAGACTGTATTGGAGTGACAAAAAAGATCAAGTATAATGCTTCAACAAATACTTTCAGTGTATTTTCAGTTCCATTGAAACATGGTTTACCTGTTGCTCGTCATTTTCAAACTAATTCTTTCAATCAATTGAGAAATTGGATTGAGATGGAAGATAAATCATCTTACCTCAATATATATATGGTTCAGCCTCTGTTTGCATCTAATCCATATTCATCGCCATTTTTGTTAGCTGCCTATGGGCTTAGCGACAAGTTTGAAGCCGTTGATGTTCTTCATCGATGGTTATGGATTTTTGAAAAATCTCGAGAATTGAATGTTCGTGTTGTTGCATATTCTACCGATTGTGATTCTCGATATCTTCTTTCGATGAGACTTGCAACAACTTTTTTTGCAAAATATAATAATATTGCAATATGTAATCGTGTTGATGTACTTGAAATCGATTTGCCACAAGAGTGAAAAACTTGGTTTTCATGTCGATTCGACAAATCTTTTTCTGTTTTCCAGATCCAGCATATATCTGTGTACGAAACTTCGTAATCGTATTCTTTCTGATACAGCTTTTCTATTGATTGGACAAGAAAAAGTTTAAATTGAAGTATTGATGGAACTGATTGAAAGTAAATCAAAATTTGTTCACGGTCTTGTTAAGACGGATGTTAATCCGAAAGATCCACAGAATTTCACATCTTGTCTTAATCTCTCAGATGATGATGTACTTGTAGAATTGGAAGATATTGAAGGTTCCCAAGCTACACGGATTTATTTGCGTCTTTTACGTAGTATCGTGATAGCGTATGTGGAGCATAATACACCGATTATTGATCGTATTCATCATAGTTGGTTTGGAGTTTTTTTGTGCCGTATATGGCAAACTTAGTTACATGTAGTGGATGAAACAGAAATGCCAGAATGCCATACTGATGAACGAATAAATGATATGTTTATCACTACTCCAGCACATTTCTCAGTTGAGCTCAATGCTCATAGTTTACTTGGAATTTGCCTTCTTGTAGCACAAAAACAACTACCTGAATCTGCTCTTGCTATATCGAATTACCATTCACAGTCGTGTGAATCTACGTTTAGACTTACTAGGTCGATGTCAGGTACGTTTTCATCAATGGTGAATTTTACTATTGAACAATTTCTTAAACGAGCCGGTAAACTTTCGGTGCTCACCGAAATAGAAAACCAGAGCGAGTCTGATCAGTTGAAATGTCCACTTAAGTTTCCTAAACATCACAAACGACGACGGAAACAGACTATTTTGAAAAACCAAACTGCTGATTCATCTATAAGTCTTCTCACGATTGATAAAATTCGAAAAACTGTTTATCAAGCATTTGATAATGCATATAATCTTCTCTCTACAGTTGATGTCAATACTGTTCTAGAAAAAAGAAAAAAAAATTCGATTTCTCAAGTGAGCTCGTACAAACGGGCTCAGTTTAGCAAAAAATTTAAAAAAGTCTCGTGTAATGATGTTGAAACATATTCATCTGACGATGAATATGATTATAAATATAAAATTGATCAGTCAGCGAACGCAGAGGAAGAGGACACATCTGATGATGAAGAAAATGTATCCTCTGTTTCGGCAAGTGGAAAAACACATTTCCATGGGATGAGAGTATACGATAATATACCTTCTTTGCAATCAAATTCTAATTTTTGCGTTGAAATTGACGGAAAACAAAAATTCATTCATAAACAGGCTGCTTGCTGGCTTTTAACCGATGAGAAAACATCTCTATCAGCTGATCGAGTTAAACGGATTCAGCAGGCAAATTAGTAAATACTTGGCGGAATAGTATAGTAAATTCTATAGGTAGGTAAATAGTTTTTGTTCTTTCTTTTTCATTTTTCTGATTTTTGTTGTTTTTCTTTGCTCACTTTTTTCAATAAAATACGACAAACTAATATCCTCTGAAGTCCCAGTTGGTTTGATACCCGTCATGATAGGTGACGTGTCTAGGCAACTGATGATGCCAGATTTTTTTTACTATGACTTAATCTATTGTCTCTCATTATAAGATTCTGTGCAAAACCTCTGAAGTACGACAAAAATCCCGAAAATCCTGTAAAAATCCCTGAAATCCCGTAAAAATCCCTGAAATCTCGTGAAAATACCGGAAATCCCGCGTAAATCCCAAAATCTTCTGAAAATCTCATGAGAATCCGCAAAATCCTAAAAATACGGAAAAAATCCTGAAAATCCCGAAAATACGCAATCCGCCGTTTCCCCTTGATTCTAAGGCATATGACTTTAATTGAGAAAACGGATCAATAAAAACTATTAATCAAAAGTGATCAAGATAGAGCTACAGTGAACGAAGAATAATTAGATTTGTCACACAATTAATGAGTTTCAACGTAATCTGTGCCAACGATAACACAGATCCAATATTTTTAATTATGGGATTACAATAAAAAAAAACATGCACTGATGACATTGCAAATATATTTCATTTCTCAATCTCAATATTCACTGCACACTACTCAAAATAAACGTCTCAAATGGAAAAACTTATTTCTGCAAAAGGAAACAGTGCTCTTCATGGAAAATTACCTCTACACTATAGAATTTTCAATAACGATATTTTCAATCTCATCGAAGTATATTTTTATTTATCGTGGTTGTATAATTAAGAACATTTGATTAGTATTATTGTTGATCTAGATTATGTTGAAACTCATTAATTGTGTGACAAATCTAATTATTTTTCGTTCACTGTAGCTCTATCTTGATCACTTTTGATTAATAGTTTTTATTGATCCGCTTTCTCAATTAAAGTCATATGCCTTAGAATAGTCAATCGTTTATCGTTATCATACAAACTTTTCAGAATTTTTAATTTATTTTATTTTATTTCAATTGGTTATTTAAAAAAACAGGAATTAATTGAGTAGGATGCGACGAACAGAACGAAAAAAAATGTTCTGCGACGAAGTGATCGTGCAACGAAATGATTGCGACGAAGTGAAGGCGACGAAATGTCATGCGACGAAGTGATCGGTCACCGGTAATACATGAATGAACGAAACTAAAAAGTGTATTTTTATTTTACCAGCTCTACTCGTTAATTCTATAGCACTCACTTGCGGTCCAGACATTGGATTCCTGTTGTAACCCCTCTGATTGTTTCTCATCTGATCTTCCAGCTGTCTGTTCCTAGTTTCTGTCTGGTTGAAGCCTTGTTGAAGGTGATTGGCTTGAACTTCGAGCTCTCTGGTCCTAGTTACCACCTGGTTGTACCTTTGCTGAATACTGTTGATCTGGACTTCGAGCTCTATGTTTCTAGTTTCTGCCTGGTTGTGGTCTTGTTGTAGATTATTGGCCTGAGTTTCGAGCTCTCTGGTCTTAGTT